AAAAAGAAATACAGAACTATAGAAAACCATAAACATACAATAAATATAATCTGAAGACATCTCTTAAATAAATCAGGTTCAGTTCTTTAACTTAAGAAATAGCCTTTAACAATGGTTCTCTTGGGACTTTTCCTTTTCTTCTAATGAAGATACTAGTTCTATCAATACAGTTTGCGTTTCTTCAGGATTAACAATCCACAACGTACAACATTGTGATCTTGTAGCAAAATCATTTCCTGTAGACAAGAACTGCATATGTAATAAATCAGATGTTAAGATCTTTTTGTTTTTATAAATGCTTTTTACCGTATTGTCGCGAAATAACGCGCAGGGGTGAAATTACAAATTTTGGCCTAAGTTAAGCTTAATTCGTGGCCCGTTATTTCGCGACAATACGGTAGTATTTCCATAGAGTTTATTTATTTTAACGAATAAAGCATTGTAATATATAAGTACTATAATATTAACTACATCAATCGTTTTGCGCATTTTATATTGCGCCTAAGATAGGGACATGTGATTCACCGTGATTTATTGTGGTTTGAGTCCCAGAGAGCCACCATTTTTACATCAATAAATAATTCTGTGATTGCTGTGACTTGTCAGGAATATAGTAAAGCAAATCGCGTATCCCTGGTCTAAGGTGATTTCAACGTTGCATCACCAACATCTCGAACCCGATAAACTATAATTTACTTATTCCCATCTACACGGCAAATAATTATTTGCTGCATCACCAACATCTCGAACCCGATAAACTATAATTTACTTATTCCCATCTACACGGCAAATAATTATTTGCCTTTTCAAATTACTAATTAGATGATCGCCTATCATACGTATATCTGCACAATTCATTATTTAATTTAAAGATTCCCGATCTTCTAGAATAATATTCATTAGTATGCTAAATCTTGTAGTTGATTGACCAAGTAATCCCCTGTCGCACTAAGTGTCACTCATGACTACCTTCAGCATAATTTTTTACACGTGAATAACCATATTTATAA